AAAATCCCCCTTTTACTGAAGAAATTTGTCATTTTAAATTCTGCCCCATTATCACTTCATAAGACCTTGATTTTGACATCAAACTGGTTTTCAACAAGGTTACAAAAAATTTCTATGCAGTGGCAAGTTTCAGATTTTGTTTTTAGTAGATAGACCCAAGTACTTCGAGAAAAATTATCAACAAGTAAGGAAGTACTTGGATCCATCATGTGCAACAACAGAACAAGGCCCCCTGGTGCTTGCATATGTGCTGGTAGGAAAAGGAAGGCAATGTTGTTTAGCCATGGGACAAATGCAGCAAGGATTTTCATTAATATCAGTAATTTTAGTACTTACAACAGGATCATCGATCAAAGATATCCTAGACAAAGGTGTATGACCAAGTCTATAATGCCAGAGATCTATAGAAGAACTATTGTCAAGTAGAGAAGTGGAAACAAAAGCATTCTTATTTAAATACTTAGAAAAGTTGCCAACAAGAGCTTCGGAGGCACTTTAGCATGCTGCAATTGATAGAGTCCATTCTTCACTTCACCTTTCCCAATCATTGTTCAAGACAAAAGGTCCTGGAGGAAACAACAATCAGAAAAGAAAATAAGGTAGCAAACAAGTGAGCGGGCAAGTCTTTTAGCAAAAATCAAGTTGAATGTAAAAGATGGGACACACAAAACGTTTTCTAGTACAAGTTTCTCAGTGATATGAACTGTTCCTACGTGCGTGACAAGTGCTTCATCACCATTTGGCATCTTGACATAATAAGATACTTCTAAATCAATGGCGGTGAACAAGGAGATGCTGCAGATCATGTGGTCTGTGGCACCTATGTCGATAATTCAAGGTGTTTCAACAGAGAATAAAGGTCTTTGAGAAGAGGTGGAAAAAGAGATAGATATACCAAACATGGTAGGGGCCTTTGCTGCATTAGCTATAGGGTGAAAAGCTGCCTTGGATGGATTGGTGGACATAGAAGGCATTATTGGACTGTGTTTTTGCTGCAACAAAGAAAGTAATTGTTGATACTGTCCCTTTGCAAGGCCAACTATTGAATTTGAATCTTCCTCTTGATCTGCAGTGGCAGCATTAGCAAAAGGTCTGGGAGATTTTCCCATGTTGAAGTACTTATGCCTAGGTGGATACCCATGAAGTTTATAGCACTTCCCAACTACATGGCCACTCATATGGCAATGAATACAAATTGCTGGCTCGGCATTCCCTACTTTAAAACATGACTCTAGATCATGTCCTGGTGTATGACAGTTAGTACAGTAAAGACGGTCACGTTTGCTGGGTTGGCCAGACTTAACATTCGGTTTCGAGATGGGATGAAACTTCCTACTAGCCAAGGCCATCATATCAGGTGATGGCAGGTTGTTAAGCATCAGGTGCTGCATTTCTTGCTGCTGAATCATGGATAAAACTTTCCCAATTGAGGGTAAAGGATCATGGAGCATAATCTAGTCTTGTGAATTCGTGCACGAGTCATTTAAACCCATTAAGAACTGTATCACACTATCTCTTTGGTATCTATTAGTAAGTATAGTTAACTTTCCACAAGTGCAGCCAGGTAAAGGATAGAACACACTGAGCTCATCCCAAATTGATTTCAACTTTTCATAGTAAACACTTACTAAATCTCGCTCTTGTTGCAAGCCTGCAAAAACTTTCTTGAGCTGGAAGATCCGCAGACCATTTTGCTGAGTAAACCGTTCCTTCAGTTCATCCCAGAGCTCAGCAACATCATCCATAAGAGCTATGCTATACTTGATTGATGGAGAGATGGAATTCTGCACCCAGGAGGTCACAAGATCATTACAACACTCCCAGGCCTCAAACAAAAGATCGTCCAACTAGTTGGCTTGGTGATAGCACCACTGATAAAGCCTAATTTGTTCTTGGCTCTAAGGGCTCTATGCATTGCCCTAGACCAAGTGGTGTAGTTGTCAACTATAAGTAGTTCAGGAACAAGAGGAACCGATGGATTATCACCATGGTTAAGACGATAAGGATTGGTGACATCGGTGAAATTGAGAAAGGGGTTTGAAGTTTTTGGTGGAGAAGCAGGGGAAGAATCTGTGGGAAGAGTTTATGTAGTCATGGTTGATTTGATTCACTTGCTCTGATACTATATAAGAATTCAAATATGAAAATTGGAAAAGAAAGGAAATGATATATGAACTTGAGAATTCTCCATTGAAATCATAAGAATCGAATGAATGAATGAATATATATATATATATATATATATGACTCACTACAAAAGGAATGTTCACCCTCTGTACATAACAAATTCAACCAATAGAAAAATGACACAATACAAAACGGCTCCGTAAAGAGCTAACAAAAAGAAAATAATAATAACTGATGCAGAAAAAATAAATTTCCTAGAATAGCCTTCATAATGTAAGCTGAGTCAGGGATCAACATGTAAAAGACTTCATCATCAATTAAGCTTCAGACTTCAGCTTGTGATCATTATCATCACCTTTATATGTGAAGTCCAATAATGTACATGAATTTCTTGTCACGTTCAGATGTTCATCCCATTGGATCTTTGGATTCGAACACGTCTCAACAAGAAACTCTATCAAATCTTGCAGGATCATCAACCGTGGATAATGATTTTAGCATGATCCATCCAATGGGTGGAGTTTCCGGCATTCTTCAAGGCGCTACAAATTTAGAGGGACGAGGACTATCCCTGAGTCTTAGTACACATGATCCATCATGAATGAATCTGTCATCTATCCAGTATCTGAGCTCTAATCCTAATTTCTCCCCATTATTGAGTCTGAATCCATCTATATCAGGTGAAATCAGGGGCTAGAATGTTTCTTTTGAAGAAAACCACGATTCTCGGATTAAGCAATCAAGGTGTAACGAGTCCATGCTTTTTGATGTTCCCAGAAGCAATTTGGATGCAAAGAAGGCTGATATCCCTGCATATGGAGTGTCGAGTATTTCTAGTGGGTTCTTAATTCAAAGTACTTGAAAGCAGCTCAACAATTGCTAAATGAAGTTGTTAATGTCAGACAAGCTATTACGGAGCAACATAAAAAAAGGAGTTTATGAAAAGTGCCAAAGAAACTGATGGAGAGTTGGGGAATGGAACTTCGGACCCTTCTGCAGCTGGGATATCTTCAACGCCGCAGGAGTCTACCAGTATCTTTCCTAGTGGGAAGCACGACATGCAAGAGAAGATCACAAAGCTTTTATCAATATTGGACAAGGTACAATCCCTGTCTTGACTTGCTAAAGCCAATGAATCAACTTCTCTCGTCAATGGCGATTTTAAGCGTTCAATTTGTACTATTTCCTATTCGTTAATTGTCTAATCACACAATGGGACAATATTTAAATGAGCCTCTAGTTTGTTGCCAAGACATTAATCGTGTATAAATCTGTTCTTGGAGAGGCATCTCATAATTTTATACCCTGCACCAAGATGGTTGAAGCTTGAAAAGCAGACATACTTAATTTTCTTTACAAACAGTATTATCATCAGATGCACATAGTGGTGTCATCCTTTGATGCAATAGTAGGATCCGGTGCAGCCAAACCATACACAACACTCGCCGTCAAGACAATATCCCGTCACTTTCGTTCCTTATACGATGCAATAAATGGCCAGATTCGCATGGCACGAAAAAAGCCTTGGAGAGGAAGATTCTTCGGCAAATGGTAAAGGGTTTAGAGTATCTTGACTGCGTTATGTAGATCAGCAACTCAGACAATAGAGATCCCTTCAGCAACTCGGAATGGTGCAACCACATGCTTGGAGGACACAGAGGGGACTCCCGGAAAGCTCTGTTTCAATTTTGCGTGCTTGGCTTTTCGACCACTTCCTTCATCCGTTAGCACTGCAAAACTATTCTGTTTTAAACATTTTTCTCTCTCTTTGTCGATAGTATTGAGTTTGTTTATAAGATTCTTTCAATTCGATTCATTATTCTTTCTTTCTCCAACTATACTAAAGATTCGGACAAGACCATGCTAGCAAGGCAGACTGGCTTGACAAGAAGTCAGGTAAAACAATCTGTCTTTATGGTGAATACTCGACGCTGGTATGGTTTTTGTCGATTGATCTATGCCCTGGATCAGTTCTCAAACTGGTTCATAAATGCACGAGTTCGACTCTGGAAGCCGATGGTTGAAGAAATGTACGAAAAAGAGGTTGGTGATGTCTAGATAAACTCTAAATCTGCACAAAAAAGCTTTAAAAACTGATGCAAAATCATCTGACGATTTGTACCAAACCGCAACTTCCACAGAAACCGAGCATTGTGGAATTGGGCAACCCTTTGAGCCAATTTCAAATCATGTCCCTGCTGTAGAAATGTTGGGATCAAACATCAATCCCTCATACTAGAATCTGATAGGACAAAGTAGATTCAACCAAAACCCTCTTCCCGTGGATGACCGGAGCCTCTTTCCAGATACGATAATACAGTCGAACTATTGCAACAAAAGATGTATAGTAGCTACATACTAGATCTCTGAGCTAGAAAGATTTGGAAGTAGAAACGGAGAATCACTCACGTTAGGATTGCAGGGTGGTAGCCTACCCGTTTCTGATGAAACTCGTTGTAATTTTGTCACAGTGAGAGGCAATGATGTGTATAATGCATCTACTTCTTCTAAGGGATTGAAACACCGGGATTTGGCTTTACGGATTCTGCAAACCAGCAGCATCAATTTGTCTCATCGTGTGCTCTACATGATTTTGTAGCCTGAGATAAGGCTTCTGGTTTCATTGGACGGAAGAAGCATTTGCCCCCTTTTGAACCATTCATCAAAAATGAAGCAGCCTCGCTTGCTTTCATACTATGGAATTAATGTAATATTGTTGTAATATAGCTAGCAAAAGATTGGTTTGGAAGGCACCATGTTTTTATAGAAACATTATTTCTGACTGTTGTGGAGACAATTAAATTAAACAAATTTGTAATGAAAGTTTGCAACATACTGAAGGTGGAGGAGTCCCTCCACACCAAAAAGGTACAATGAGAGAAGAAATGCCAAGTTTGCATTCATCAAGGTGTGTCGATTTGAGTGGTTAGGACTGTAGAAAGCTCGACCCAACCCATTGTGGCTAAGCCATGGGCCGTCCTGGCCTGGCTCTACAGCTGAGCCATGCTTGACTCAACTAACTTGTGAAGAAAAAAGGCATGTCGGGTGAGGGCAGCCAATATTTTTACACCTTCATATTCATAATACATAGCCAAACAAAGGTGGGAATCAATCATCACCACAAGTGCTACGTCAACAATTTCAAAAAAGGTTTGCACAAAAGCAAAAAAATAAACAAAATGGCTTATCACAAAATAGGTGTTGATCAGTATGACACATGAAGCTGCTGACATGGATAGATATTGTTACATATGATGAGCTTTGAAGAAATCAAGTGACAGTTAGACTATGGCCTTTTCTTTATGCTATTTTATTGGAAATAAATTTTTATGCTTTTATGTAGCAGATTATTCTGCAAATTAGTTATTCAGTTGCTGTATAAATAATTGAACTCGATGCTAAATAAATTGCATACTTTTATAATCTCATATAAATCTTGTTCTGATTGTTAATTTGCATACCAACATTCTGGTATCAGAGCACCGATCTTAAGAGATATGTGAGATTTAAAAAGTCAAAAACACAAAAACCTACAAACAGCCTAAGATGGAATTAGAAGTTTCTTTCACGTAAATCCCACATCCAGCATTTGATGGAACAAATTATCAAATGTGGGATGTCAAAATGGAAGCCTATCTTGATGCTAATGATCCATTGAAAGCTGTAGAGCAAGAATATGAAGTTCCTGACTTACTAGGCCATCCAACTCTTGCTCAAATGAAAAATCATAAAGAAAAGAAGCTAAGAAAATCAAAAGCAAGAGCAACCTTGTTTACAGCCGTCTCTTCCATTATTTTCAACAGAATAATGACAATGAAAACAGCTAAAGAGATTTGGGATTTGTTAAAGCAAGAGTATGAAGTGAAAAGATCAAAGGAATGCAAGAGCTAACTTTGGTTCAAGAATTTGAGATGCAATGGATGAAAGAGTCAGAGACAATCAAAGATTATGCGGACAAGCTTCTCAGTCTTGCCAATAAACCGAGTTTTCTGATTCTAGAATTGTTCAAAAAATTCTTGTCCCAATTCCTGAGAAATTTGAAGCGACAATTACTTCTTTGGAAAACTCTAGAGATTTGTCAAGAATTACCCTGGCAGAATTGTTGAATGCTCTGCAAGCTCAAGAACAAAGAAGGCTTATGAGGCAGGAAGGTTTTTTGTTAAAGCAAGAGTATGAAGTGAAAAGATCAAAGGAATGCAAGAGCTAACTTTGGTTCAAGAATTTGAGATGCAATGGATGAAAGAGTAAGAGACAATCAAAGATTATGCGGACAAGCTTCTCAGTCTTGCCAATAAACCGAGTTTTCTGATTCTAGAATTGTTCAAAAAATTCTTGTCACAATTCCTGAGAAATTTGAAGCGACAATTACTTCTTTGGAAAACTCGAGATTTGTCAAGAATTACCCTGGCAGAATTGTTGAATGCTCTGCAAGCTCAAGAACAAAGAAGGCTTATGAGGCAGGAAGGTTATCTGAAAGGTGCTTTTCAAGCTAAATCTCAGAATAACTAAGGTGGCAAGAACAAGAAAAAGGAGCAGAACAACAAGTCAGGAAGCTCAAACAACTACAATAATAACAGCGGCAAAACCTCTCAGGACTTTCCATCTTGTCCTTGCTGCAAAAAAAACCAATCATCCACAGAATAAGTGTTGGTGGAGGCAAAATGCAAAATGCAACAACTGTGGTCAATTAGGGCATATGGAGAGGATTTGTAAGTCTCAACAACAGCAAGATGAAGCAAAAGCTGTAGTAGAACAACCTCAGGAAGATCAGCTATTTACAGTATCCTGCTTTGCTACTTTAAGCTCCACAGAAAGGTGGCTAATAGACGGTGGCTGTACAAACCACATGACTTATGACCAAGAACTATTCAGAAAACTTGACACAAGCTTCATCTCCAAAGTCAGAATTGGAAATGGAAAACATATCTCTGTAAAAGGCAAAGGAACTGTAGCAATTGAAGGGTGCACAAGCTTGAAACTAATCTCTGATGTTTTATACGTTCCTGAAATTAATCAAAATCTGTTAAGTATTGGTCAGTTACTGGAAAAGGGCTACAAAGTTTTATTTGAAGACAAAAATTGCATGATCAAGGATGCAGACGGTAGGGAAATATTCAAAATTAAAATGAAAGGCAAAAGTTTTTCCTTGAACTTAATAGAAGAAGAGCAAGCTGTAGTGCACAAAGAAGAAAGCAATACAATGCTTTGGCACAAGATATTGTGACATTTCATCATGATGCTTTACTTTACATGAAAAAGAATGATCTTGTGGTAGGTCTACCTAAATTGGAAGAAGAATTGCCTACATGTGTTGCATGTCAATATGGCAAGCAAGCAAGGCTACCCTTTCCAAAGAACAAAGTTTGGAGAGCTACACACAAGCTGCAATTAGTGCACACAGATGTAGGAGGACCTCAGAAAACACCATCTCTGAATGGTAGTAAGTACTATACTGCTTTCATTGATGATTACACTAGAATGTGTTGGATTTATTTCATGAAACACAAAACTGAGGTTGCTGACATCTTTAATAAGTTTAAAACTTGGGTAGAAACTCAAAGTGGAACAAAATTACAGATAATATGGTCTGACAATGGAACAAAATATACATGTCAAAAATTCAGCAAGTTTTGTGAAGATGCAGGCATTGAACACCAGCTAACAGCCTTATACCCCACAGCAGAATGGGGTTGTGGAGAGAAAAAATAGAACAATAATGGAGATGACAAAATGCTTACTTCATGGCAAGGATCTGCCAAAGAAGTTCTGGGCAGAGGCAACAAACACATCAGTTTTCTTGTTAAACAGATTACCATCAAAAGCTCTTCAGAGAAGAATTCCATTTGAAGCTTGGTATGGTTTCAAACCAAAATTAGTAAATTTGAAAACTTTTGGTTGCCTTTGCTTCTCTTACATTCCTCAGGTTAAGAAAGACAAGTTAGATAGGAAAGCAGAACCAGGAACCTTTGTAGGCTACAACTCAACATCAAAAGCTTGCAGGATCTACTTGCCACAAAGTAACAAAGTAATTGTTAATAGAGATGTGCAATTCCTTGAGTCAGACAACTGGAGCTTGAAAAATGACAAGAAACTTGAGTTTCAGGAGGAGAATGATGATGTGGATGATGAATCTGTTAGAGGAACCATATTACTCTCTGACATTTACCAGAGATGTGATGTAGCCATAATGGAAACTATAGGATATGAAGAAGCTGCAACTGATCAGAAATGGATAGATGCAATAACGAAGGAGCTCAAGATGATTGAAAAAAAATCAGACATGGCAATTGGCTGACAGACCTAGACATAAGAAAGCTATAGGAGTCAAGTGGGTTTACACGACCAAGTTCAATCTTGATGGTTCTATGAAGAAGTATAAGGCAAGGCTTGTTGTCAAGGGATATGCCCAGTTGTTCGGGGTAGATTTCTCTGAAACTTTTGCCCCAGTTCCCAGGTTGGATACCAAAAGGATGTTGTTGGCTCTTGTTGCACAAAAGGCCTGGGTGATACACCAAATGGATGTTAAGTCAGCATTTCTGAATGGATACTTAGAGGAAGAAATTTTTGTGGAGCAACCAAAAGGATTTTTTGTTCAAGGACAAGAGGAGAAGGTATATCAACTGAAAAAGGTTTTGTATGGTTTAAAACAGACACCAAGGTCCTGGTATAGCAGAATTGATGCACACTCGATAAACCTAGGCTTTGAAAAGAGTCTTAAGTGAATCTACTTTATATATCAAGATGGTTGATGTTGAAATACTTGTGGTATCCTTGCATGTTGATGATTTACTTGTCACAGGAAGCAATGAGGAGCTCATTGACAGGTTTAAAGAAAGAATGAAAGATGCCTTTGAAATGACTAATCTTGGAAGAATGACATTCTTCCTTGGTATGCAGGTGCAGCAGAATCAAAGTGAAATCTTTGTGAGTCAGATAAAATATGCAAAGGAGATTCTAAAAAAATTCAAAATGGAGGAATACAAGACAATTGCAACTCCAATTAATCAAAAAGAGAAGTTTAGCAAGGAAGATGGAGCTGAAAAATTTGATTAATAGGCTGCCTAACGTACTTAACTGCTACCAGGCCAGACATTATGCATGCAATAAGTCTACTGTCTAGATATATGCATTGTGCAAGTAAAATACACTTTCAAGCAGCAAAAAGAATCCTCAGATTTGTTAAGGGCATAGTTGACTATGGAATAAGATTCCAACAAGTTAAAAATTTCAATTTTCATGGTTATCCTGATAGTAATTGGGCTGGATGTGATGATGATAAGAGAAGCACTTCAGGTTACTGTTTTAGCTTTGGTTCTGGAATTTTTTCATGGTGTTCAAAGAAACAAGAAGTCATAGCACAATCCACAGCAGAAGCAGAATATGTAGCAGCTACATCATGTGTGAACCAGGCTCTTTGGATCAAAAAACTCATGGCTGATTTACATGTGGAGCAAACGGATAGTACACAGATTTTTGTAGATAATCAAGCTACAATTTCAATTGCCAACAATCCAGTGTTTCATGGCAAAACAAAACACTTCAAGATAAAGTTTTATTTCCTAAGAGAAGTTCAAAAGCAAGGAGAGGTGCAACTAATTCATTACAAGACAGAGAATCAAAATGCCGATGTTCTAACAAAAGCACTTCCTAAAGCAAGATTTGAATTTCTCAGACAAAGACTTGGTGTATGCAGCTTAAGAGTCAAGTAGGAGTGTTGATCAGTATGATACATGAAGCTGCTCACATGGATAGATATTGTTACATATGATGAGCTTTGAAGAAGTCAAGTGACAATTAGACTATGGCCTTTTCTTTATGCTATTTTATCGGAAATAAATTTTTATGCTTTTATGTAGCAGATTATTCTGCAAATTAGTTATTCAGTTGCTGTATAAATAATTGAACTTAATGCTCAATAAATTACATACTTTTATAATCTCATATAAATCTTGTTCTGATTGTTATCTGCATACCAACAATAGGCAACAAAAAATCACTGAGGCTAGCTCCACAAAATCAAATATAGACCAACTCTAAAATCAACAGAATAAAGCATCCTGCAGTAATTTATACATAGAAATATGGTTCATCTTATACATAAAACTGGTAGTAAATATGAGAATGCATAGCCTTGTTTATCTCAAATATTTAATAATGACTATTTAATCTTCATTTACCTTACTTAATCACCTTACTGAATCGACTCCGAAAAGGCAAACTCAAAGCTATTATAGGCAACAAAAGGCTATGCATTCTCATATTTACTATTGTAAAGCAATACCAAAACTATAGTAAACTACAAGTTATATATATGGATAACCAGGCGAATTATCCATTCGGTGGTCATTTTCTGAATGTAAATTAACAGAATCAGAAACAGAAATGATCTTCATTTCCAGTCACGTTCACAAGTTCTAATAAACCTAAATCTAAATACATTCCACAAATTCATACGACGAATTATGCAGCAAGCTAAGCCAGAAATCCATGAAAGGGACAGACTATAACCAAGTGAATCTCAGCACTGTTGTCACAATTTACCTGACAACAAGAAGAAAAAAATTTAAATAAATAAATTTCAAGGGTGCATGCAAGATGATTATTCAAGAGAACATGAAATTCACTTACCTCTGGAATAAAGCAACTATGTCTTCCCTTAGTCTTGGAGTTTCCAAAAACAAATCTCCAGATTCTTTCACATCCACAGTCTCCATTTCAAAGTTTTGTAGACCGCTATGCTCGTCCCATTCAAACCACATCTTTGCTATGCTTTCCTTTCTAAAGCAAGTCTTGTGGTCCTCCTCCTCCGGCGAGCCAGATGCAATCAATCTATAAGCATATACCTTCTTAAGCTGGCCGGGTCGAAAGGCACGTCCTATGGCTTGGCGGGTAACTGACGGGTTCAAATGAATGTCCAATATAATTATTCGTGAAGCCCCTACAAGAGAAATACCTTCACCGCACGCTTTAATCGAACCAAAGAAGACTCGAGCATCAGGTGAAGTGTTGAATCTCTCCATAGAAGACTCTCGAGTTTCAGAATCTGAGTCACCCGTGATCATGAACATTTCATTTCCAAGCCTATAACCCTTCACCTTCACAGTCAACCTCTCCAAGAATTTCAGAGGCAGAAGGTATTGGCTGAAAACAAGTAGCTTCTCCCCACAGGATTCACAGAGCTGGAGAAGATTCAGGTAGAATTTAGCTTTCACTCCTTCTCTCTCGTCCAATTTCTCCAAAATTCCATCAATTTTCTCCTCGTCGACCCTGTCTTTTACTCCAGAATTCTTTGATAGAGTCTTCAACTGTGGGTGCACATAAATTGCACTCCCTTCAGCATTTATTTTAAATTTTCTGGCCAAGTTTTTCAGCTCTCGAACTTCAACCTTTTGTCTGGGGCTCAGTTGAAGAAAGACGGCAAAGTCAACAAGTCCTGGAAGTTCATCCAGGTTGTCTCCTTTGTAATAGTGCAATACTTTTCTGGTGAGCTCCCGTAGATCTTGTATGACATTTACTTTTCTCACACGATTTTCATCCTTCAAGAGAGTGTGCTCGATTAATTCACAAAATTCTTTGTCTGTGATCTTTTTCATCGAGTTCCTTTTACTTGACATTTCGGCTCTGCTCAGAATTCTCCTCTTGATTATTTTAGAAGTCTCCAGTTTTAGAAACCTTGGACGAACAAGATTTAAGATGTTGAAAACTTCTTTCACATGGTTCTGGTAGAGTGTACCAGAGAGCACCACCTTTCTCAGTGTCTGGACCTTCTCAAGGGAGGTCAGAACATCAGTGTCCTGGTTTCTTGGAGTGTGTCCTTCATCCAAGATCAGAATGGAAGGACATTTCAGTAAAATTTCTTGGCACGCAGCAGGAATATTCCCAGTATCACTGTCACACACTATAGAAGAAAACTGCTTATAACCCAAAAAGAGTATGCTCCTCTCTCTTGCCCACTCCTTTAGAACTTCCAGTTGCTGGGATCGACTGTCTGCTTTCACTGAGTAGAAGTCGTACAGAGGTAGGTCTTCCACTTGCCATCTCAGAAATTCCTTTTTCCATGTTGCTAAAATTCCCCTCGGTAGCACTACCAGTGGTCTTGCATGCGGATATTTGGCCATGAAACTCTGAAGAAAACTGATAATCATGAAGGTTTTCCCCGACCCAGGAGCATGAGCCATAATGCAGCCTCCTGGATTATCAGTCACCAGGTTACTGAGAAGGAAATTAAAGCCCTCAACTTGATGGGGCTTCATCACCCTCTTGTGCCGTGGATGTGGGTAAATATCAGCAACAGTAAACTCTGTAGCGGATGGTGTGAACCCATCAGGAAGTATTTCTGTTTGATCATTGTCTTTGGAAGTCCGCCCATCATATCTGTAAGTTCTAGTACTTCTGGTGACCTGAATATAATTTAAAATAGGGGAAGTTAGTTGTCCGAACTAGATCTTCCTAGTGAGAAAAACTTGATAAATATGAACAAATAGGCATTGCTTCATATGATTAGACTTTTAAGTATAATTTATATCTAGAAATGAAAATGAAGTTCAATATAAAAGAGTTCCAAATAAGCACTGAGAGACAAACTGAGTCTACATTTGGTGCCAACTCAATTCTGAAGATTTTAGCACAGCACGTTGAGTTCTACATGATGCATAACAAGGAAAAAATGAGATCTCACGAGAACTTTGCGACACTGACTAGAAATTTTCATATACAGGCAGCTGGGAAGAATAAAGATAAAAGAGAGAAATTGGATAGTTTTCAAAAATGAATGCCCTCCATCATACAATAGCGGGTAAAACATTCCGAGTTTTTTACAACTTCAAAACATATAGTTATGTAAAGAATCTACGTAGAATATTTCTAAAATTTACGAGAACATTTTGCCCCAAAACCTAATTGTTCCTAAACAATACAACATTGAGCTACAAATTTTACTCAGTTAACAATTCGCATGGAGTAATGTAGATGCCAAATTTGGTTAAGTTCTCAAGGGAGTTGAGAATGCTCAACATTACGACCTAGCTGTTAAACACAAATTCCCAGTTGAAGTGGAGTACAATATAGCAGGGTCCCCAACTGTGTGTGACATACGATTATAGAGGACCACTAAACTTGGCCATGCAGTTTTGCGAGCACTAGTATGACCAGATATAACACGTACTATATAATTTTTTCTAGCAAGATCGTGCACTTAAAGCAGATCATTTTCACTTTTAGGCTTTACAAAAGGAAAAAATAAAATTTTTCAAATAATTAGGATCATGCACATCTAATTCCTGAGCTTCACATTTAAACTAAAGAGCTAAAATCTAATACAGGTGGCATACAAAGAAGCAAAGAACCATACCTTGGAGAAATTGTACTCAATAATGGTTTCAATCCCTCTCCCAATAACTCCACAAATGCGACATACTTCACCGATATCATCTTTCAGTATATATGAATGTTCACAATCTTCTCCACCCTCAGCTTCAGGTTCGTCGGGTGGAGGATCTGCACCCGTATCCTATCAAATATCAAAAATGGGAAGCTCATCAAATCAAACATTAAAAGCAAATTAGTTTTAGTAAGATTCAAGGATGCTATGATGCACCGACACGGATACACATGTCCGTTACGGCACTTGTCAGATACGCCAATACACGATTTTTAAAAAATGTACTAATACGATACGTCGTTGATACGCTGATTAAATAATTAAATTGTTAAAATTCTTTATATAAATTTAGTTTTATACTAGTATTTAATTTTTCTTGATGAAATCTTTTAAATATGAATATCCATTTGTAATTTACTAATTAATTTGAATTAAAAATACATAATATATCTAATTAAAAAAAAAAGAAAGAAAAAATGATCATGGTAGAGTATCCAACGAGTGTCGGTCTCCGACGTATCCGAGACTCCGACAGATCGACATGGACATGCTACCCCCATTGAGATATCCATGGAGCAGATCAAGGATGTGATCAATTGAAGGTAAAAGGAAAAACACTGAGAAACTTGATTAATTCCACTTAGTATGAGCTTTAAGTTCTTGTCCTTCCATAAATTCAGTTCTGTATACCCCAGTTCTCAAAGAGACAACATGTGCAAGCTGCCCTCCACATTACCCCTTTTAATATAATCATTTGTAACCTGGTTTTCAATAGCAAGTATTTGTTCTTTCATACTTCAAAAGTGCCTGAGTTATGCATTGGATTATCCACAATTGGATCACTATACTTTAATTTGGTCTCAATTTAGACCACTTCATCCAATTCGGCAATTCCATCGCATCTAATGTAGAAAAGTCTATTAATAAACCAGAAAATCTACTGACAGTAAGTTGTTGGCATTCATTTACAAGTTGGATAGAAACATATGACATGAATAATATCAATTAATACAATGAAGTTCAAATACAAATTTCTCCTACCTTTGAACACTCTAACGCGACAGACATCTCCTTCCAAATGTCATCCAGACCATCATAATTATTGTCAGGTTGTTCATCTTCTTCGTCCACTTCCATGTCGTCCTCTGTGCCAACATATACACCTTTATCTTTTACCAGTTCAGTTTCACCAGCAAGACGCGCATCTTTTTCTGTTAGATTTCGGCTCTGAGCAAAATTTTGTTCCTGCATTTGGTTATGACACCACTAGCTGAGCAGCAATGCCGGCGTATAATTTAAAGCAAAAGATAATTATTTTCCTCTCAGAAAAACATGTATTTTATATTATCTATCAGAAAACAATTTGTAGCCCACCTGTAACCCCGAAAAATAAATAAATAAATTGGTTAATCCTCAAACCAGTGAAGGTTGTAAGTTATAACAAGCCACACATCACCGCCAACAGTGAAATCGAAAAGATTAGTAGCATCAAAAACATAAATAAATCAGAGACGATGAACTATGGGCTACATTCAAATGGGGTCATCCAACCCAGCTGAGTCTTTAAGTTCCCGAAAGTTCTGAGTAATAAATCTTTTTTCAAAAGGGAGATTAAAAGTAAAATTCATAAACACCTCTGAGTTTTAAACATTCCCTAAATATTCAAATGGTTGCATAATGCAAAAAATTTATGGGGTTGATCAGTATTCAAATTGAGGCACTAACAATAATTGCAAGCAATACACATGATAATAACGGATGCATATTCCAAATTATACACTTCTCATGCTTGCCAGTATACTTCAAAACCCATCTGAGCCCCTCAAAAACCTAGGAAGATTCTCGAAAAATTATCCTCCTGTAGTCATCTTTGACACTACTTCGTGTCATATTCTTTTAGATATTCCAAGTAAATCAGACAAATGTTAAATTGAAAAGGTGTGCATGATTTCCCTTCCAATAAAGCAGAAATACACCACCACGTTTTCAACAATTTGCCCTTGTAAATAGGTTATCCACTAAGAATGCTAGGTAATGACCAAATACCTTTCCTTTTAACACATCACCCAAAGATTCAACCATTTTTATTACAAGAATACAGTCTAATTCAATAAACATGACTTCATGAGGATCCAACATATGCGATACCTTAATTGCAAGAAAACACGACTATATCTCATACAATGATCAAACCTCAATACCATAACATGTATACTTGCGTGAGAGTATGCATGTGCATGTTACACTTTCATCAGAGTGTCAGTACACGATTAGTTGCCATCTAAACTTCATTGTTCATCACCTTCCAACAGCAGTAAAAGAAAGCACATGGACTGCATCAGTGTCTTTATCTAGAGAGACTATTACTGGAGCTACCATTTTGAAGAAATTAACAGGAACATAGAGTTGGAGCTATTGATCAATCAACTCAAGAATTGATGCATGGACATTTAATTTTACTTTTGTCATTTATTTGGCCTCTTTTGTGCTAATTGCGACTTGTCCGAATGCCTGTTTGGCATGGTCAATAATAACATATTTAATGAAGGAAAAAACTGACAAGAGAAGGAAAGTTCCATACCAAAAAGTCCTTCATAAGAAGGTGGCCAGGGGGCTTCTTCAACTCAACTTCCCGGAAGGGACATAACGGCTTCTCATCCTTAAAATCTTCATCATCTGAATCAAGTATAACAACAGGTCCAGGCAAAGGAGCTAGATGTGCAGCCGGAGCAAACATTTTGACTACAACATTACATCCATCAGGATCATCCTCCAAGTTAATGACATCAGTTGTAGTTGCTCCAGGTGATTCTGAAGCCTTGTAATTTTGCACAACCAAACACTTGAATGGAAGAGTAGGATCCATTGCATAGTAAGAATCTAATAAATTCTGCCTCTGCACAAGAAGATCCTCAACATCCTTAGTAACGCTTCCGTACTTGCCAGAATCCAACTCTTTCAGCATACTGTTTATTGAGAATGGATCTGAATAATCCACCACTTTTGAGCAGGCTTCTTGGCCTTCCAGGTCAGATTCACCACGCCACCCAGCAGCAAAGGGTGTGTCATTGTAACCACTTCGTTCATCAACTTTTATCCTTTTCCACCCACTGGGACGTAAATCTGTAGATATAAAATGTACAATCGATTAAAAATGATGAACTTCAACATGTGCCCTCTTCCATTTTTCCTTTTTTTGTGTAGATGCGGGATTCTGTGCACTCAAAACCAATAGTGACATGAAATATGACAAAGCACAGTCAAGGATCCATATTATTGGCAATACAAATACGAAATCCTGTGATATATTGGCAACATTTCCATCAAGCATTGGCATTCAATAATGAATCTTCCTGGGGGTTTTCAAAGATTTGTTCTGCACTTTTCTTATGAATATTACAACTGACATAATTGAACAGATCTACAGATAAACTTTTGCAATTTCAAATTACCTACATTAAAAAAATGAAGAAATGCCAAACGAATGTTCTGAAATGATTTTCTTACGACTATTTCCCCCTCATATATTTATAGTGTTTACATACAAAAAAAAAAAAAAAGTCCATATGCATGTGGACTTCTTGTTCATATTAAATGAACTTACACATCAAATGAAAAGGCGGATGCTATAGTACAGTTTGGCAACAGGTATTCATTGAAAGCACTTCATAGAAAGCAAATTTAAACCTAGTTTCCTTTAAAACTGTATGAATTTGTCTTTCCCAACCTTTTAACATCAAATGTCAATACTGCTACTAACAGAAAACCTTCCACTCACAGTCCAACCCCCACGCCCCTGTTAAAAACTTACTTCCTTGGATTCTTGCTAAGTACTAATACAATTTGAAAGAATTACCATAATGTAATCTTACTTCCACCAAACATTGATTGAAAGAAAAATTTTACAACTGTACTTCAGACTCGATGTTAGCACACCTGTAGACAAAAAAGAAAAGGAACAAAAAAATTATCAAGCTACACCCAGTTGCTCACACAAACTCAGTACCAATTACTTACTGTGTAGGCAAAAGTTAACATGTCAAATCTGCCTAACATTCTAATTGGTTCTCATTGTTAAAACCGAGGTTTCGATTCAGTTCATGGCTCTAATACCCATAATCAAAAATCCATTCTAACTCGATATTTAAGTTATATAATGCCTGGTACAAATATACTGGTTCTTGGTTAGAAAATTATTCCCTTTTGTTTTGAAATTAAAACATTCTATACATGCTTAGCATGTTCACAAATATTTTAATTTGTACAATTTAGTGAATTTGACAACTTTAATTGAAGGAACCGAACCAGATCAAACCAAACCAAATACAGTTGTTTTGGTTCCATAAAGAGATGGAACCGGTGATATTATATTTAAGACATCCATTGCTACTCAATTCAATTTGGTTCTCTTTGGATCGCTTCCACCCTTAAGGCCATTAGTTGATGTAGAAAGATACAATCACTTTTTTCAAAAGCTATAACTAGTGGCAGGGTGCAATCAAACCCATTATTATCCAAAATCAGGCCCAGGATTCCACACCAAGCACTTCTTTTAGGCCTTTATTTCTAAGTATTCCTTATGAAATAAGCACACCCTCGTTAGTTCTAACTTACCCAAGAAAGATCTTTTTCAAACTGGATGAATGTAAATGGTAAATTTACTAAGTATTTAAGGAGATGCTCTTCTTGTTGCGATTGGTATCAGCCTTGAAGCTACCCAAAAGATAACCTGGCCTCTTAGTTTTCTTTTGTAATATCAAATCATTTTTACCCAGTATCGCTAACTTTTGCTTTAACATTTTTCTCATCACTCGTCTAAGCAATGTAGATTTCCCACAAAGTAAGGGTGGCATGTTGCAAGTGGCAACAGCTGCCAACAGCCAAAGCAAATGATAACAAATTCACCAAATAATTTCTCCAAAACATAGAATAAATAAGAAGAAAAAATATCTAAAATAGCCTCCGTCTCCCTCGCCGCCCCCCCCCCCCCAAAAAAAAAAGAAAAGAAATTACATGAAATATTAAATCGACAGTTCTGGACAAGATATTAAAATCAAATTCAATGTGAAAAAAAAATAAAAATCGCAAATGATATTTTCCATATCAAAAATCATACATGCAGCCATACACGTATATGCACGTGTGTGAGTATATGTGCAAAGAGAGGTTTGTAAATAAATGGTAAATAAATTACCACTGGAGCTACTGGCCGGAAACCTTTTTAGAAATGGAGTTGCATAATTGCTATCAGTTGCTATGCCCATCCTCACTAAAATCACACACATAAAGAGTGAAAGGGCTAATTAATTCAACATAAAACAAAAATGCATGTCGATAATTACTATGCAGCAAGAAATAGAACAGATTTTGAGTACAAAATTGATTATGATTTTCCGCTCAAGCACCTGATGGAAAAATCGGAACCAACAATTGGGACAAATTTAAAAAACAAAGATAGGATTTTTCGCCAAGCAATTTGATTCACAATTTTTTGAGGGGTATAGGGGATATTAGAGCAGAACCGATCAAGAGGAGAGAGCTGTTTCTTTTTTTGGGTAGGGTTCTTTAGGGGATCTTAAGAGCAGAATTGATCACGAGGCAGGGGTGGTATTTAGTAAGTCAAATTATGGGATCCAAATTTAATTATGGAACTATTCGAGTTCGGCTCCATTTGATTCGGTTTGATTCATTCGATTCTTAAGTTCTGTACTATAATTTATATTTTTTAATATTTATAAAATTTAACTCTTACAAAATATAGTCCAATCTTATATGTATTTTGCGTCTCTCTTGCTGAGTTTTTTTTTTTATAGATTTGATTGTTAAAATCATATTAAAAGAACAATAGCGAGCTTATAATAATGAAGAGAAGAGTTGTTGAGTTTCAATTCGATTTCTCCAGAACGGTAGATTGGCACTACGGTAGAATAATAAATTTGGGTGAAAACTTTAGGTTAATTTGATTAAGTTGAATTTACACTGAAAACTAGAAATAAGAAATCATATTTTTTTGTTTGAACTTTAGAAAAAGATTTTTTTTGACTAATTTAAAATAAATGAATTAAAAAAATGGAGATTCAATTCTTCTGTTCTTAATCTAGAATTGAGAATCGAATTGAACTTGTCGATTTTCGATTGAAATATCCGTTCGAGTATTTAATTTAAGAAGAATCGCTCGGTTCAATTCGCATCAGATTCTATTCGAGAGTTTTGCCCAGCACTATAAAGATGAGAGCGTTGTTTTCTTCTTGGGTAGAGTTCTTTTTTTATTTTGGACGTTTCTATTTGGAAAATCACACAAAATTAGCCCTCACTTGTCCACATTATTCTCAAAACGCAGTTTTCAATCTCTTATTTCCAATCACGTATTCTTCAATAAAATAATATTATACAAAAATTAAAAAAATTTATTATTTCCTAACTACATATTTTCCATTAAATCATTATTTTAAAATACTTTTTTGACAAACAATGGAGCTCAAGCTGGTAATTAATCCAAAACAAACATATTTAGTTTAGCAGAAGACGCATCCTCAATCTATATTTTTGGCATTTAAGTCCCCATCCACCATTTTCATCGTATCTTGGTCCCTACTCAACGAAATTCATTAATTGCCACACATTTTGATTATATTGATGCCACAATTTTTGGTTGTTTATCATCATATATCAAATGAGGTAGTGATGGCAATGGGGCGGGGCAGGCCCTGTCTCGCCCCAACCCCGTTCCACCCTCGCCCCTCACCGGGCGATTCGGGGGCAGTTTTTTGCCTCATTTACCGCTCCATTTAATTTTTTTTAACACATTTTCAAAATTTAAAAATTCAGAACAAATAATGCTCAAATTAACATCAATATTCAAAGAAACACTCGAAAAAAAAATATCCAACAAAAAATATACCTGCCCCACCAAGTCGCGGGGCGGGAATTACGCCCCACCCCGCCCCATCAACTAGGGGTGAACGCGGTTCGATTTGGACGATTTATACTATATTTTTAACCCAAACTATTTTATATGGTTTGAAATTTTTTCAAACCAAACCAAACCATAATTTACGATTTGGTTCGATTTTAATCCACGATTTACCTTTCAGCATTATAGTAATGTATTTCATATAAATTAAATATAAGTTTAAATGAGAACTAATAATATTAAATGTGAAATTATATTTATATTTTCAAAGTTGATTGCTAAAAGATGTTAATAGAACGAATATATTTTTATTTACATTTTCTTGCTTGACATTCATATTGTCATATAGAGGCTGATAAAGGTAGAGTTATGTTCTGTTATTATAGTTTGGTTAAAACTCCTTTCGTCTTACTGGTGAGATATTAAATAAGAATTGAACGTGATATGTTTAAATGTACAAAGATTGATAGAGTTTCGGTTTGTTGGGAATTGACGAATTTCATCCTATAAAACAACTGTATGAAAGTAGAAAGTAGTAGTGCTAGTTAGAGAACTTTAACATTTTCATATAATCAATACGCCATGTCGTTCAATCTTTCCAAATTACGAACAAGTTCATTAATCATTTAGGCACACAGTCATTTTCTATCCAAACCACAACTCACAAGTTATAATAAGTTAGAAAAATAAAATAAAATAAAGAAGAATGAAAAAGTGGCTTGAATAAAAATCTAAGACTTACTAAAAGAGAAGAGAGGGAGAAGCGATTCAGGTAGAGATTAGTAGACTAACAGGAAAAGGTAATTAACGATTCATTTAGCAATGATAGATAAGCGTCAAATGTTGGAAAAATGAGAGTTTATATCTGGGCTTCTGAAATAGTGGACGTGATTTGCTGACGTAGTTTTGTTGAATATGATTTGGATTGTTGAATTTTTTTTTTTTTCATTTCATATGATTTTGAAATAATTTTAGTTTAGTTTAAATATCGGGTGAGAACATGTGTTGTGAACCTGTAAAATCATAAGTCAATAATGATGAACATAATTCACTTTCTATGATTATTTCAATAGGCTGATTATAATTTGAATTGCTAAATTGGTAATTTTTTTTTTGAAAAGTGAAAATTGTAAACTTTTTAAGTTAATAGAATTAATATTTTAATTAAAGAATTTAAAAACGGTTTGGTTCGGTTTTGTACGGTTTTTGAAAATCGAAACCTAAACCATACCATTTTGAAACGATTTGGTTTGATTTGAGGAAAATGAAACCACAGGTCCACGAGAACCTGAACCAACAGTTTCGATTCGGTTTGCGATTTCACAGTTTTTTGTGGAGCCCTTCCATCAACTCGTCGGGGCGGGGCGGGGTAAATTGTCATCTCTAAAATGGAGCCATTAAAACGTTATCATCCATTTAACTGTAAAATCAATTTTTTAATCAAAATAAGCCCCATCTATGGTGGCCTTAAAATTTTCAAAACATAATTTTGAATAGTACTCTTTAGAGAATGTGAAGTCAAAAAATTATAAATATATGTGTAGAATATTTTATTGTATAAATTTGTGGTTGAAAATAATCCTATAACCAAACTTAAAATAAATTAAAGGGTGTCAAACAGGGGCTAAAACATCATCACTTTTAATTAAATACAAAATATATAGTCCTTGTTTGATCCCCACTATTTAAAAAAATGAATTCTTTTACAGTATTTTGATTTCATTGAACTTATGTCTATGTTTTCGATTGTTCACTAAATCTTAAAATGTTGAGTTTTAATCACTAAATTATTCAAACGTTGAACGTTAGTAACTAACGTAATATCTAATTCAAACTTCACGGAATTGGTGACGTGGCTAATTAAATGCACAAGTGAAGCCCCATCACACCATTATAAAAGTGTCATATAAGAAAATGTCTTTTATTACTCGCTAAACTTTGTAAATGCTCTTGATTGCTCATTATACTTTAGAAACATCTTCGATTGCTCTTGAACTTTGTAATTTTGATTACTGAACTTATAGAATGATGTCGGCTTGTCATTCGCTAAAAAATGTGTATCACAAGTGCACATGTTTCACTTACAAGTAATAAAGTGGATAAATGAGTTCGGATTATCAATTATACAATAGTTAAATTCAATTTCAACAACAAAACACACAATAAATTTGAATTTTTCAAGTGATGAAAATTGCTCAAAATTTTTATATAAATGAAGAAAGATCTTGCAGTACACATTTTTTAGCGAACAACAGGCCGACATCATTTTTATAAGTCAATGACCAAAATTCAAACACTTCAAAGTATAGTGAGCAATTGAAAACATTTTTTCAAAGTACAGTGATTAATCAAAGACGTTTTCTAAAGTTTTGTAAGCAATGAAAGATGCTTTTTTAAGTGACAATTTGGTAACGGCGTGACAAAGCGTCACATGTGCATTCTATTAGTCATGTTATCAATTCTGTTAGAGGTTTGAAATAGATGTTATGCTAGTGAGTAACGTTCAATGTTTGAATAAGTCTTTTAATCAAAAAATGACATATTAAATTTTATTGAGCAATCGAAGACACACAAATTAATTCGATAATTATTGGGCCAATTAACTCCTTATTTGTTTCAAATTAAAACAAAATACTTTGATTCTCATACTCATTTTCAATCATATATTTACACAATAAAATATTTTATACGTAAATCCAAAATTTTCCTATAAATTCTTCGAAAAAGCACTATTCAAAATAATGACCATAAAACAGGGCCAAGTGAAAAATGGAAAGAGAAAAGAAAAATGATGAGGCATCTACCAGAGTAAAAAAATATAAAAACCAACAAAATGAAAAATTTTGGCTTCTTCCCCAACTGGTCCAACCACCCCGAATCCCTTGTTACAGCAATGCCGCGTGGCCGCAACCACCATTATATCAGTTGTCCCTATCTTGTGAGTTTGCCATTTGCAGAGTGGAGGGTTAATTGTTTGATTCTGATTAAATATGATTTTAATCTCAAGTCAAAATCAACAATTAATTTTAGGAAAAATTGCGCCAACGGTTCCTATAATCATTCAATATACAAACTCCAACTATAATCATTTAACATACAAGTGACAACTCAAATAGAATATGACCAAAATAATTTTTTCAATAAGTGGGGTAAAATGCTTGGGTTGTGCATGTAACTTATGTTTCTTTATGGGTCTATTTTAACAAAATTAGCTCCAAAACTACACATTAAACAAAGGAAAATTGAGCATTGAGTTTACCAGATCGAGATTGAAGAATGGGTAGAAGAACAGACTGATAGTGCTTGGAGCAATGAGAACGACGAGCGGCCCAAGAATCCGCATCCATGGCTTTCTTGTATGTAAATTGAAATTACTTCTCAAATCGAATCTCCCCTTCTAAAAAAACGAGGTAATTGAATTTGAGCGAGTTAAGCTTGCCTTTGATTTATGATTTCATAAGCGCGAAAGATATAGGATAACTATTTTGGTGGGTTATACAAAATGTAAGAATTTCCATTCGATGGCACATGGTTATTGTGGCATAATTGTCACTTTTTTAGATTGCATATCAATTAACAATACATGTTACATGTGTCTCTCTTGCTCTTAAATTTTTTATTAGAAAGTTATACCGACTCATATGAACGTATATGGTTAAACCGAAACTAGGAAAATTACTCTTCT